AGGTCTCCAGCTATTTGTACTCCAAAGTCTTAAGTTATGTGAATGGACCTACTAACCTAGACTTTTGGGTCATGTATATTCATGGTCCTGGAAGAAGTAGGTTCTAACGTGTGCAGCTGAAAGCGGCCTCACCCCATGACATAGTTGGCTCCTTCTCCCACAGGGGCAACACACTTACAGCTCCAGCCTTATCAATGTGAAATATGTCAGTATTAAAATTAGAAAAAGGACCACACCTTATATGAGTAGAAATTGTTGCACTATCATTGATGGTTAAAAATTACATTTAATGATAAATTATGTATTTAGGAACCATGACACTAGAATTTTAATCACCTGTAACTGCTTTACAGCTAAGTTACTAAACTGATGAGGGGTGGATAAAAGGGTTCACTTCAAAAAGATTTATGTACAGTGTTGCACTTACGGATTTCTAGGCACTTTATAATGACTTTTTCAATTCAATTTGAGATTGGTGCCCACAAAGCTCAAATAAATGTGCCAGTATCATTGAGTGCTAGGAAAACGATGCAGCTTCCCTGTGTCCCTGTGGCTTCAGTAGAACTTGTAACTCTAGGACCACATGCACTTGCCAACTGAATCATTTGGAAATTGAACCTATGAAAACATATAAATAGTTTTCAGGTCAAGATAAAGAGAAATGAAACAGATAAACTAGTTCTTGCTTTTGTATATATAAAGCAACTTGACTAGGACCAAATTAACAGGAATTTCACTCATGAGAACTAGAGTAGCAGACCTAAGATTCCCAAAGCAAACTTATGTGCTAAACCGTTAGACTTTGGTAATAAAGTGAAAATCAGAAATCCAGAATTAATCTTCGTAACATAAAACTGTTGTGTCTTTGAAAAAAGGTGAAAACTTTAATATAATTTATATTGTTTCTACACATTACATGTAAGAAATAATTTCACTTAATCATAAGTACAATGAATTTGATTAACAAAATTCTAATTTACAAAACAAGTAAGTATATGCAGAAATATATTCATTATTGAATTATAAAATAAAATTAACAGTTCTTGTTAAGATATCATCAGTTTATTCTGTATTTCAGATAATAGAGTGAAGTCATTTTGGTATGCTTAATAATATTTATAAGTATTAAAATAATGGAACGTTGAGATTTGAGTACAATGACAGTAAACCATTGAAATTTCACATTCACATTATACAGCCATCATCAATCCATAAGTGAATGTTAATAATGTAAAAAAATATAAAATGATTGTAATATAACCATCTAACCATTAGCATATGGAGTTTTAAGACCACTATTTTATCTGCTAATTTTCTCTGAAATATAAGCAGTTGCTTTTCTGTCATATAAGACTGTCTTTGTGCCTTATACTTAATTTGAAATGTCCTTACTGTAAAAATATACCAAAGTAAATAAAAAAGGAGACACTTATTTACAAAAAAAAAAAAAGAATTGTATACATATTATATAAAGGCAATTGTTTCCAAGTCTTTTTATACAGTATTGATAGAATCTGTCATTTTTATTATTCTAAAACTGCAGTGTTGTAAAAGCAGGCTGTAACTTTTAAATTTTTGTAATTTTGAAATTTTGATAAAAATGAATACTTTTGGCTACCTTTTCTGATAATTCAGTTTCTCCAAGTATGCTACAAAAATGATTCTTCTTGTATTAAAGAAAATCCATTCCCCATTTGGAGGTGTATGAAAGTGTGCCTGAAGAAAGGAATAACTTATTATTTTGCTGAATGTTTTTACCTGATAAACCTGATAACCATTCAGTCTATTGTATTAGCACCATTGGCATGGATTGTTAATGTACTGTACCAATTATAATAGGAATGGGAACTTGCATACTGTGTACCATCCCTATTTTTGTGTAATTTTATCTTACCAAGTATGCTATCATACAATATAAATTCAAGTCTATAAGGATGATTCAAATGATGATAAATAACAATCCTGCATTTTACCAATACTATATATAGATTTTTTGTAGATACTAAATGAAACTCTAAAGAAATAGACTTTAAAGCATACTCCTTTAATTCACTAGAACACAAGGAGAATTGCTTTCATTTACCTGCATATGTTGTAATATATATATGAACACAAGTGTATTTTGATCTCCTAGTTCAAAAACTCTGGAAATCATAAAACTTTTTATTGTATGATTTATTTTGATGGTTAAATGCCAATCATTGCATATATTCTCTCTTTTAGTTCATATACTGTAGTTTGTGCTTAAGTGACTGTAGCATACTATATAGGCTTATAGCCTGTGGTACATAATTTCACAGTTTCAAAATTGTTGAGGGGAAGGCCTTCCATGTTTTAGGAATTTATGAACCAAATATAAATTTCATGAGCACCCACAGCGATCTACTACCATGGCTGGAATTTTCCCATATATTATTTGTTCTTTGCCATTAAAATATAGCATATTAATTGGAGACATCTTTGTGGGAGTACAGCAGGGGCCTGCTGAACCTCTGGGGTTTGCTTGGTGTACAAGATGAGTATGAGGATATTTTTGTAAAAATACAAATTCACACTCTCCAGAGCAGTAATTGGCCTTATATCTTTTGGGTGCAATAATCCAATCCCATCCAAAAGCTTCAAAATCCACAGTTAGAGGGTAACGACAGCATCGAGATTCTGTTGAGTGCTCATCACAGTCAAGTCCAAAATCTCTTCTGGATCTTTTTGGTGTGTCTGTTACCTTGACTTCCAAAAAAGGATTCTGTGCGAAAAGGGAAGAGAAATCAGTAATATTCATAGATCCTGAAACACTTTCCTATCTCAAGAAGTCATTATTGAAGAAAACCGAATCATTTTGCATATGCCACATTTATTTTTAAAAGGCACAGCATTAAGGAATTTTAATTTACACTAGGATTGATTCTTCCCTTATGGCCCAAAAGTATACAGCAGAAATACAAATTTCCCTGTGGCATATAATAGATGCTCTGAAAACATTTACAGAATATTTATGAGAAGAAAGGGAGAGAGGGGAGGGAAAGAGAGAGGGAAGAGGTTAGGTTACTCCCTCTCTTCCCTCTTGTTAATCAGATATGTTGGGTAAATATGTCTGATGACTCCTGGAGAGGTAGGTATACTCATCCATCCTCCATTCAAGGAAACTTGGATTTAAAGCAGAACAAAATAGTTACCTCCCAGCACTGTATGGATTGTAATGGGGGAAATGAAGGTAGGTCAGTGGAGGTGGTGGCACATATAATGGGTTGGAGAGGGAGGGACAGATTCAGAAAAAGGTACGATAATATTTCCTGTATTATTTCACTGAAAGATGTTTCTAATTGGATATTTAAACAGTAATTTTATAATTCTTCCCCTGAACCAATCTTTTCATGCATTTGAGATTTTTTTCCTTTTACATGGAAAACTCTGATGAATATGTCATATTAACCACCTGCTTAATAATAATTAAAACCTATCACATTACCACTTTGATCATTAAAATTTTACCTATAAAAAGGAACACTTTCTTAAATAATTAATAGTTTTTATCCTACACCAAAATCAAAATAGACCTAGTAGTCATTGTTATTTAAGATTATAAAAACAGTAACATTTTGAGAGTAAATAACATATTATGTAGTATATTTAAAGAAAAATAGATCAATTGGAAAATTGTATAATTTCTTTACAAATACATTTTCATTAGAGTTGACTTAATGACACTTATTAAGACAACTAAAAAATAACACTTATTGCTTACAAGTGTAATCTTTTTTTGTAAATTATGTCATTAGACAGAAGTAAAAAATATGGTCACATTAAATAAGTTTTTGAAAACAGAAGTAAACACAAGCATAGGTAAGCCAGAAAAGTGAGTAACTCTAAATTTATACTATGTTTTTAAATTATTTTTGTTAATTTTTATAATATATAAAGTATTGTCATCTGCTTGGCCTGATACTAAATTAGTTGGCATTACTTAAGTAAACTCTTGAATATTTATTCTTGAATGGTAAAGCAGCTCAGAAATAAACTAGGCAGTACAGGTTAACTAGCCTGAACATTAAATTTTATTATCATAATTCATGAAGTAATCTACATATACATCTGGATCAACAGCCTACAAAATAGATAACATTTATCATGAGGGACCTTAGTTATAGTGTATTTAATAAAATATAAGCCTAAACATATTATAGTTCATTGCTATGAATAAAAGTATTTTATTTTAATTATAATTTATAAAGCTGCATTTTTTCTGCTTTATTAAGGCAGAAAATTTCAACACATTACACTCTTCTGGGGGGAAAAGTTTTAATTTCTTGGATATGTGCTAGAATCCACTATGAAGATTTCATGTTTTTATTCATATAATCATGTAGCATACCCATTCCCAATTCAAAAGAACTACCTAAGAAGTTAAGTACTATGGAATAACTTTAATCCTTGGGCAAAGTAAAAGTATCAAGAGTGTGTGTGTTTCATGGGATATGAAATTAGATACCTACTTTTATTGGGTACAGGGCTACCATTGGGGAAAGATGCCTTTTTCTGGCTTATGAGCATAGGAATTTAGTAGCTGTTTTTCACAATTGTTCATTCACATTATGATGAAAACATAACAAGGTTGTTAGAATGTTATTTTCAGTTATCACTTACCAGCCCATCTTCTCCTGGTCCTGGGAAGGTTACAGCAAGATCATGACCATTCTCATCTAAAGCTTTGATTTCAATGCCTAAGTTGGATTCAGGTTGTTTGAGCCAATTCTGCAACACTGTCTTCACATCAATGCTCTGCCAAATACCAGTGCCTGGGTTCATGTCAAGTTTCAGAGATCGGATTCCAGTATACCTTGTACCGTCTTTCATGGGTTTGATGAGTCTCAGGATTTGCACAAACACTGTTGTAGGAGTCTTGACGGGTCTCAGATATATCCATAGTTGGGCCTTTACTACTTTATTGAACTGGATTTTAGAACTAAATTTAAAGAAACAGCATTTGGGTTTTCCTTCTACTTGCATTAGAAGATCAGCTATAAATGAATCAGAAAAGAGTTATTGAAGTTATTTCTCATAAAAGATGAACAAACTCATATTAACTGGTGAGTATTTTTTCTATTGGATTAATGAATGTATATTTAGTCTTTTGAAATGAAAAACTATAGAATTTCATTCATAACTCAGGAAAATTCAAAGAAAATAATTACTCTAGCTTTTCATAATTTTTTAAATACATGCTTTTTCAGCTGTTTATGAGGAATCTACTCGCTTTCCAGAGAACTATGGACTAGGGAAAATTCTATGAAGGAATGAACAGTGGAAGAAATTTTAAAATGATGATGATTAGAGAGAACAAGAGACACCGTGGAGGAACATCCACTTAGAATTCTTTGGGAATCTGAGTAGTTACACTTACTGAGCAGCTGTACCAATCAGTCTGGAAGAAGGAACCCTTCCCCCAGGCCTGAATTACCTGGGGACAAGACACACTGAGCAGCTAACTGAGCCTGGGGAATTAGTAGAAAATATAGTACATCTGTTATGTTTTGGCTCTGGCATAGCGTTTTAAAAGATCAGAATTAAGCAGGTAATTAGTACCAAACTTTAAATGTTAAGTTCAGGCTATTTCAAAAGTTAGAAATTGTGTTTTTAGTGTTAAGCTGTCAGTGTAAGCAGAAGCACTGAGAAATTTCTTTCCTCTTGGTTTTTCCAAGATTGTTTATAAGGCAAATCTATTCCAGGACTATCTGATAACAGTCTTAAAGGAAAATTAGTTGTTGCATTATAACCTGGCTACTTAATAAGGAAAAAAATATTTTGAAACTATTCTGAGTCCAGATTAAAGTGTAGAAAGCACTTTATAAAACAAGATCATAGACACATGGCACAAAATCTTTCTTGTCATGCCTTCTCTGTTAAGGTGCCTGTCTCCCTTTCTTTGACTATAGTTTTGAACTGACTACAGAAGGAATTGCATGAAATATATTATCTTTCAGAAGCAATGTAGATACTATAGGTAATAGTCCCCCTTCCCATGAAGAATTGAATAATATTTTAGAAGGTTCTTCAGCAATATTCCTGCCTGAAAAAATGCAGACTGGCTACTTGCAACAATAGTACCATGGTCAAGGTTTAAGTAGGGCTTTGTGAAACATAACATATTTGATTAAAATGTTTATTTCTTAGGCATTTTTCTGATAATTAGCTCCTGATAATCATTATGTTTGCTTCATCATTGCTGTTTTTAATACATTAACTATTTTAAAATACTTTCTCATACTCTCTAGTGGAATAGCTCTCAAAATTAAATATTTTAATTTGTGAAGAACATAAAAACACTGTGAGGAATAGTTTTGAATAACAGAAGTCATTCTAGGTGTTCAGCAAATGATCAAGTGAGCTTAAACACCTATAGATTTCTTCCTTTCTCCGTTCTTAGTGAGAGACCTGGTTACCATAAATGTGTATTTCAAGCAACCAAATGCAGTTATGAAGTTTTATGTCAGTTTTTTAACATTGCTTGTAGTGCCTCTCAGTAGCTGCCTTGGTGGTATTAAACTGTAAAGCATGAGCATGTTATATTTGTCACATTAAACTAAATAACTAGTGCTTTGCAAGCATTTTCAGATATTCGTCTCATCAGTATATTTCTCATGAAATCTTGAAAAAACACACACCAAAACTCTTTTCCCTCCTACTTACATTCAAGCCAACAGCTTGTTAAAAGAGCCTGAAAATAGATCTGTTTCTCATAAACACTGGAATGACAGTCAGCAGAATTGTTGATATACACTAATAGGACTACTTACACTCTGTAGGCATGGTAATGATAGTTTCTGTCGTAGCGTGATAATCGTCATCTTCCAAGGAACCATCACTGCTGTCATCTCTCTGGACATCGTACTGATCAATCAGTTCCCGGAGTGGAGGAGCTTTGGGCAAAAGTTGTCTTATAGCATCTTTGCTGATGTTAGGAGCCGTTTCCAGACGAAGTTTACTGAGGATTTGGATTTTTATGGCTTCTATTCTTGAAGATTTAGTGTTCTGTCTCCAAGTGCATGCATTACACAGCCCCTCTTTTTCCACATTTTCTTTTTGTTCGCTGTTCTCATTTAGATCCACTGGGCCAGCAACAATCAGCATAAACAGGTAAATATAAACATAGATTTGCAGTTTTTGCATGATTTTAAAATCAATGCAATCTTTTCCTTGTTCTTCTTTCCTTCTTTTACTTTTCTTTTGCTTTTGAGTAATGCCAAGCAAAATTTCAATGCCTGTACAGTTAGAGAGACAAGTTGCCACACCAGTGAATCTTTTATACTGTATTCCAAGTGGCTTTTTATATTCCAACTTTGATGAGACAAGTGTCGTCAGGATCTATGATTGGCTCTTGCTCCACAATGAATCTCGCTGTCAGAGGTTAAAACCCTGTCTGTCACAAGTCACCAAACAGTATTTTGTTACAGTCAAGGGTGAGCTGATTCATTTGAGTATTTCATAAAAGAAAGAAACCTACAAAGAATGAAAGATACATGTGACATTTGAAAAATTAAAATGTATGTAAACAATAATATAAACTACACTTCAATCTTAATCTTTATATGTGAAGCTCTTAAATTATAATTTAAATAAGTAAATCTTAATTTACACTTCATATTTAAAAAGTTGAAATGTTGCTTCCTCAAGAATTAAAATGATTTTATATTATTTAAGCAAGCATTTGATGTAAAAAAATTATTTGTTGTATTACATTATTTTTAGTCCTGTGTAATTAGGAAAATATAAGCTTAAATCAGGAAGACCTGAATGAAAAGTCAAGATTATAATACTAGTAAAAGGTTTTTCAGCTATAATTTGAGAAATTTGTTTTCCTAACTAAATGTTTAGCACATGTTGAAAATCATACTTATCATAATGTTATAGTGCACATGGAATTACTTTTAAATAATTTAACATCTTTTATTAATATGAAAATTGTGCTCAATTTTTGACTAATTACTATTATTTCCTATTCTAAAATTGCAGACTAATATTTCTCAGCAGATGTATTTCTTCACTGTTTATTACCAAGAGGATAATGTCAACCAGTAGAAATTTTTCTGAACTTAGAATAAAAAATAATGGCTTTTATGACTGGTAATACAGCACTTACTACAGTTTGCCTCAAGTTTTCAGTGGCAAAAGTGTAAAAAAAAAAAAAGTAGTATCTGTTGTCTATAAATTATATCAGAATATTGTGAACACATAAAAGGGAAGAGCACCATAATAAAAGGGCGCCCACTTATTTTGTTTACCAATACTCTGATAGGTTTGCACCCCTTTGCCAGTTTCTTATTATGACCAGAGGGCAGACACCTGGCAGGGATTTGGGGCAAGGTCTGGGAGCATAGAATAGAGCTTTTTGTTCTCTAAATTTAAGTGGCCTCTGCAGGGATCAAACTCTCAACCTTAGCTTTGGGAGCCATAAGATATAATCAAATGGACTATTAAAGAGCTAAACAAACATAGCCAGCAAGAAACAGAAGCTGTTTCCAGGCCACAGGAGATTTCTTCTTCCTACTCCTTTTTGGGAAACTAAGGACTCCTAAGAGAGTTAATCCATTACTTTTTTTCCCCCAAGAGAGTGCAGTGGCTCATATCAAATATTTATTTTTTAGGTCACTACCACTTTTGCACATTGTACACTAATTTTGTGCCTCAGTGCACTAAAATGCAACTCAGTAGCCTGAAAAGTTAATGCATTTTCATCAAATTCTTAAGAGGTATCTACATCTCTTGAGAAAAAAATGGCCTTACATAATGCATTAGATTTGCCCATCATTAAAGATTAAGGAAAACCAGACACAAACCAGATGCCCGGAAGGATTTCAGATACTTTGTTGTAGAACAATATTATATCAGGCTTATAAAATTTTGTTTGGTAAATTTATTTTTTAATGTATAAATCTTTGTAACGTTATAATAACTGTAACACGAGAAGTCAACCTTTTTAAAAAAATAATTTGATTAGAATTGCATGGTCAGGCTCTGGAGTCAGATAGACCTGAGTTCAAATCTCAACTGCCAATTCTAAGTATGTGATAATGGATGAGATACGTAAATTAGCTAACCTTCAGTGTCCTCGTAGAGTTTTGGGGGAATGTAATTTAATAATGCATGTAAATTGCTGAATATAGCGCCTGTCATATAGTAAGTGATTGATAACTGGTACTTGAGTGCTTGGTTTTTGTTTCATGCAGAGGGTTTTGAGATTATGCTTAAATTTATCCCCCACATGAACTAGAACTGGTTCAGGTGGTAGCTGCCAATTATCATTTCACACAGGCTACTCCTCTAGGCCTCTGAGGCAGATAAAATTTTCTAAGTCAGCCCTATTACAAGGCATGTTTCAGCTCTTGATTCTTACTTCTTAGAATAAATAAACAAAGGTTGTCATCTCCACATACAGTTAATGCTTATTTATTCATGGATTCCATATTTGCAAATTTGCCTACTTGCTAAAATTTACTTTTAACCCCAAATCAATATCAATGGTGCACATGCACAGAATGGCGAAAATTTTGAGGCTTCTGACACACAGGTTCCCAGATGAAGTCAAACAAGGGAATTCTCTGCCTTGTTTTGGCTCTCATACTGTAAATGTGCTCTTTTTGCAGTCCATTTAGTAGCATGTTTTTCACATTTTTGCGCCTTTTTGTGGGGTGATTCTGCTGTATAAAATGGCCCCTACACACAGTGCTGAAGTGCTGTGCTCCTACACACAAGAAGGCAGTGATGGAAAGTAGAATGGTAGTTGCCAGGGGCTGGGAGGAGGGGTGCAGGTGTGGGGAAGCTACTGTTTAATAGATAAGAGTTTCAGTTGGGGAAGATCAAAAAGTTCTGGAGATGGATGTTGATGATAGCTGCACGGCGATGTAAATGTACTCAATGCCACTGAACAGTACACTTAAAAATGGTTAAATGGTCAAATTTATGCCATGTATATTCTACCACAATTTTTTTAAAAAGAAGGTTGTGATATGACTTAGGAAAAAAATTCCTTATGGAAAAATATGTGTGTTAGACAAGCTTTGTTCAGATTTGAGTTATAGTGCCTTTGGCC